AAGGAAGGAAGGAAGGAAGGAAGGAAGGAAGGAAGGAAGGAAGGAAGAAATCCTATCCTCTATAATTTGGTATGAAAATTAGACAGGAGCATCTATGGGTAGTAACCCCTTTGGGAGTTCATATATTAGATATCCTGCATATCGGGATACATTAATGATTTGTGACAGCTGCAAAATTACAGTTATGAAGCAACAACAGAATTTTGAGTGTTTGTTTTCTGTGTTTTGGTGTGCGTGTTGTTGCTTCTTGTTCTTGTTTTGTTTTTGAGACAGGGTTTCTCCGTGTAGCTCTGGCTGTCTTGGAACTCACTATGTAGACCAGGCTGGCCTTGAACTCACAGAGATCTGCCTGCCTTTGTTTCCTGAGTGCTGGGATGAAAGTTGTGCACCACCACCACCACCCAACCTGCAACGAAATAATTTTATGGTTGGGGGGGAGGGGTCACCTCATGAGGAACTATATCAAAGGGTCGTAGCATTAGGAAAGAACCACAGGCCATGCACAAATTAAACCCACAGGTGAATTCAGAATCATTCTCTCTGCTCATTCTTCCTCACCCACTGTACTGCAGCACCCCATTCTTTAGATGACGAGCCTGAGGATCAGTGAGGTGCAACCATGTATATCAAACATCCTCTGAACTTGCCTACTCTCACCAGAGACAGTTGTCCTGGTAACAGCTTTCCTGTTTCTTGTTTAACCGCCTTACAAGCTTAGGTTAACAATCGACTGACCGCACCTTGCAACATCCTTCTGGGTTGAGCCCCATTGTTTTTGTTCATTGGTCTGTAAAGCATTTTTAAAAACTCAAAAGATGATAAACAATCCCCTTACTTTTCTTCTTGATCAACATCTTAAAAGCTGAGAAAAATCCAAGGAGTTGAAATTCTCCAAGGCCTTTTGCCTGGGGTCTTTGTGCTTTAGTGCTGAGATTGCTAAGGCTGAGTCTTTACTCTCTGATTTGTTTCCTGACCTGCTTTCTGGCTCAATCTGCACCTCCAACAAGGGTTGTGACTTTCACCAATCTCAACTTCCTCGTCTCCCTGGAGACAGAGGCAGCAAACCTACAAGCCTGACCTTAGTCACTCAAACAGTTATTAAGAAGCTACAGCTTGCCAGGTGTTACTCTGGGCATGAGGGAATGCAATCGCAAGGCCTCTGACAGAGTTGCTATCTAGCGGATGTGGAGAGCGGTGTGGCAGACACTGAATGGGAACACTAAGCATCCTTTCAGGTGATGCTGTGGAGTATGATGAAGAGAGCAGGGCAAAGGGGACATTCTCCTTTCATCCCCTGGATTCCCAGGACACGGACCACAGAGCTCAGGCTCCATTCTAACACCATCTCCTCAGTCTCTTTCTAGCTTGAGGAACATACCGGAAACATGGGACAAGAAACACGTCCGTGCCCTAACAGGTATGCAAAAAAGAGAGACACAGCACAGAGGCTGCCTAGCTTGTGACACAAGCCATCCACTACCTGCCATCCTACCTACCATCCACTCTGAGTGTGGCCTTCCCCTCCTAGCTTCACCTCTCTGGATCCAAGTTCTCCTTTGTCAGGGAAGACATGGCTGCCGAGAGGTTTCCTCTTGTTCCCACTCTTTGCATGTATCTTGGACTGTCTCCTCTTTGATTTTTTTCTTCTACATCACCATTGTACTCTTTATTTTAATTACCTGAGAAGAGGAATCCAAAGAGTGCCTGGAAACGACCTGCCCCCAGGAAAAGATGGCCTTCTCCAGTAGAGGATGAAACGAGTCATCCAAGAATCTGTTACCCACATTTTATCTGGGTGAAAAAAAAACATGAAAATATTATCAAGAGGATTTTTGAAAGAGAAACTCTCCTAAGCACTGCCACTCACTGTGGACCCACCCTGAGTTGCGCAACCTTTTAAACTGTGGCCTGCAAATGGATCCATGTGTTTAAGTGATTCCTGACAGCTGGTAAACAGCAGTTGCCCTGACTGCTTGTCCGTGCCCTGCTGACCCAGCCACCCCAACTTCACCCCCAGGAGCCCTGACTCCTCGTAGCTAACTCCCAAAGGACAACACCTGGGCCAGCAGGGGACCCCGAGGACCTGATGCCAGCACCTCAGGTTGACCTCTAGCATGTGTTTCTGGGAATTTAGCCTCTCCTCTGCCCCACCCCCACCCTTGTCCTTTTCCTCTACTGCTAACGTTCTGTTCTCCTGGGAGCAGATTCAGCAGGTTCTATAAGAAAACCACGCTTATGCTACAGCCCAATAGTTGTAAATCTGGTTACGCCGACGAACTTACAGATATGTAAACAGGTAAGACAGGGGTGTTGACTGCAGCACTGTTTACAGCAGGAGTATAAATAGCCTCAAAGCCTGGTGATAAGCTCTTGGTTGTCAGCTTCCTGTTGCTGTGACAACAGCGTTCTTGAGACTGGGTGATTCATAAAGATGTTTATTCAGTTCATTGTCTGGAGGTAGAAGACCAAGAACATGCTGTCAGAGTCTGGTGGTGTCAAAACAGAGGGAAGTCAGAAGGGTAGTTAGGTGCAAGGAAGAGGCAAAGCTAAAGGGGGCTTTCTATCAGTCCACTCTCAAAGTGACTAATTCCAGCCTGTGGAAGCAAGAGCTCATAAGCGGTCTTCTCTGCGGCCAAGTGATGTCCTCAGAGCCCTGCCTCCCCCACACCACTGCAACACCCATACAATTTCAGCTTGAGTTGAAAAGAACAGATCCAAGTTGCAGCGTCCTGTGTCCATGAGATAATATGTGGCAACTGTAGTGAGAATCTTTACAAAGAAACTCGAGTTACAAAGAGCCCGAAAGTAATTTGTAAAGAAATTGGTGAAGTCCAGGAGTAGGGAATTTCTTTTTTTTTTTTAATTTTTTTTTTTTTTTTTTTTTACAGTTTATGCATTTTACATTCTGATTGTAGCCCCTTCCCTCATCTCCTCCTGGTCCGACCCTCCTTCCCTCTTCCCCTTCTACTCCTTTCCCTTAGTCCACTGAAAGGGGGAGTCCTTCTCTCCTGCCATCTGACCCTAACTTACCAAGTCTCACCAGGACTGCCTAGATCCTCTACCTCTGTGGCCTGGCAAGACCACATGGCTGGGGGAAGTGATCAAAGAGCAGGCAACTGAGTTCATGACAGAGGTAGCTCCTGCTCCCCTTACTCGAGAACCCACACGGAGACTGAGCTGCCTTTGGGCTACATCTCAGCATGGGGTCTGGATCCTCTCCATGCATGGTCCTTGGTTGGTGCATCAGTCTCTGTAGGACCCATTGGGCTCAGATTTTTTAGCTTTGTTGTTCTCCTTGTGGAGCTCCTCTCCCCCCCGGGTCCTTCTATCCTCCACCCCCCTTCTTCCATAAGGCTCCCTGAGCTCTGCCCAAAGTTTGGCTGTGGGTCTAAGCATCTGCTTTGATTGCCTGTTGAGTAGGGCATTTCAGAGGACCTCTGAAAGTTCCCGTCCTGTTCCCTCTCTTCTACCACTTCTGGTGTCTATCCTGTTTGCCATTCTGAATGAAATTTTTTAAAGCATCCTCCCTAGGGTCCTCCTTGGTGTTTAGCTTCTTTAGGTCCATAGATTTTGGTAGATGCATATTATATGCTTAATATCCACTTATAAGTGAGCATATACCATGCATGTCTTTCTGGTTCTGGGTTACCTCACTCAGGATGATCTTTTCTAGTTCCATCCATTTGCCTGCAAATTTCACGATTTCCTTGTTTTTAATAGCCGAGTAGTATTCCACTGTGTAAATGTACCATAATTTCTGTATCCATTCCTCTGTTGGGAGTAGGGAATTTCTGGTCATGATAGATGAGCTTTGATTGTGCTTCTCCACTCTCCATATAATCTTCATCCTCAGTGCCTCTTCCTGTGGTGCCCAGACTTCTAGAGTACTGGCAGGCCTCACAGGGACACATGGCATAGATCAGAGGGAAAGAAGGAGAGGTCTCCTGTCCCTGCAGCCATCCTTACACATCTTGAACTTTGTTGTTGCTGGAGCCGTCCTGAAGGAATTTCTGAAGTTTGTGCCATGCAGGACCCACCCTTAGAGTTGGCATGAAGTCACCCCACCCAAGGCCAAGGGTGCTCTCCAAATGGCAGGGGGCAGAACTGAGGCAATATCAAAATGTGACAGCCACATTCTACAACGTCAAGTGGGAGACTCCAGGCCAGAGGATGAGGGTGGGTGGCAGAGGGAGGCTCTAGAAAGACAGGCATCAGAAGAATCCCGGTGGCATTTCCAGAATTTAGGGGGTGATCACTAACTAAACTGCATTGGAAGGGTTGCGAGGAGTTAGGCAAAGCTATAGCCTTTGGGCAAAAATTTAAGCAAAAGTAAAAAATCCTAGAAAATAAGAAAATATTTTAATTCAATAAGTTTCATAAATAAAAATTAATGGCAATATTCATGATGTATAAAATATTATTGAGTAAAACAAGATTTTTTTTTTCTGTTTGTTACAGTCTCCAGGTCAGAGTGGCACTAGATGTAGAATGCCAGCAGGTCCCCAAATGATAATGCTTAAATAAGAAAAGGTCAGTAGGAGAAGGAATTAGTGTAGGGCAGAGATCAAGAGGTTTATTTTGGAGCTGACAGATGCGCTAAGGTCCTCGAGTGCAGCTCATCCTTTATTTCACCTAGAATAGAAAGAAAGGACAGCTGAAAGAGTGTGCTAGGAGCGCTCAGGGCTGAGGCCCCCCCAGTTCACTCTCTCCTCAAAATAAATGGCAGCCCCAGTCTGGCTTCTCCAAATCAAATGGATGGGGTTGGGGAAGAGAGGCAGCAAAGAGCCCACATAATGAACAGTCTATGCTAGCCATTGGTCCAGCCTTTCCCTGAGGGGCCGGCGGGGGGAGGGTTCAATCCCAACTACTCTCCGATGCTATCACACGTCTATGTACATGTGGTTAATCCCACCATCTCCTCCTCTCACCACTTCCTCCTCCTGCAGCGTGCTAGGCTTCACAGGAGGAGATGCTGATGACACTGGAGTCTGTAACAAGAAAAAGAAGGAAGAGGAGGAACAGAGAGGCTGAAGGGGGTAAAGGGGAGAAAGCATGAGGAAGAGTTGTGGGGGTATGAAACACGCAACTGTCAGGCCAGAGCTTGACAGAAGGGGGGTGTGGCAGCTAGGGACAACTGTTTATGTGAAGTTTAGGACTGAAACTTATTCCTCTTCCTGTCAGGCTGTAGTGGCAAAACCGAAATGTGAGAAGAATCCTCTGTTTCATTTTAGGAAGAAAAGAAACCATAAATCCAAGCCTGGTAGCTGCCCATAGATGCTCCACAATGCATTCTTACTGCAGACAGGCTCAGAGCACAATTGCATTTAGCCCAGGGGCACCATCTAGCTTTTTAGACACTCATTAGAATCCAGTGGATAGGAGGCCAGTGGGAAGGCTAGAGACGAATCCATGGATAAAGGCGGTGCAAACCCGATGACCTGAGTTCAATCCCTGGACTGACCTAGAAGGTGGAAGAAGAGAACCAACACCACAGAGTTGTCTTCTGACCTCCAGAGCACCACAGCACGTAGTGCCCATGTCCAACAATAAAAGATAAAATCTTCTGTAAAAACAAATCTGGTGAATGAAAGTTTTCTAAGGATTCTTGGCTAAAGGAAACAACTGTTGAGGAAGAGAGGGTGGGGAGAAGAGGGCAGGGCTGGAGAAGTTAAGATGGAGCCCCACTGACAATGATCATGTTGTCACCTGGATCTTTTCAACCGAAGCATAGCGACTGGTCGAGAACAAACAGCAGCCCAGACAAGAGAACAGACCTGGAGGCCACTGCAGCTGAAGGAGCCAGCTGAGCAAGGTTCTGTTGAGGATGCGCTCTGCATGTGGGTGTGAACATGATTGCCAGGGGCTACAGAATCTGTAAGCTCAGAGGGTGCCACAGCCCCTATCTGTGGGACCATTCCTAAACCCTGGCCTCAGGATCGGCTGACATCGGAGTGTCCTCAAGATGCTTTCTCCCAAGAGTACACCCTCCCCTGCTGCTAGGGAGCTGTCTCAGTCACTGTGCTAGAAACAGCTTGTGGGAACAGGCCAGAATCAAACTCAGGAGGGAGTTTCTTGTCACTCATTTGGGAAGATCACAGCTTCTCCCCAGAGCTCAGCCTTTGCATCTGTAAAGGAGGAAGTTCTGGAATAAAGGGCGTTTCAGACTCATGAGCTCCCCAGTAGTTCTGCAGCCGCAACCTATTATTCTCCAAGGACAAGGGTGACACTGGAGTCCTGACTCCACAGTCAGGAACCCCCAGGCTGGTGCTGATGATGTCCAGCCCCATGGTGTCATCATCACAGTGTTTCAATGACCTCCAATGTCCTTTCTGGCCCAGAGACACTCACTCTGAAAAGCTTGCTATAAATTACATCAGAGCCTCTTGGGGCATGAAGCTTTCTTTCAAATGACATGGAAAAAAGGAGGGCAAGGCAACACAAACTTAAGAACTGGTTCCAAAATGTAGCCCTTATGTTGGGAAATGCAATCCACATAAATAAACTGACTTGAAAAGGCAAGTTCTTTTCCTTTAATTTCCTTTTAACTTCAACTCCCTGCATATCTACAGGAAGGGTAAGAGGGCCAGGGAGGGAGGAGGGAGGGAAGTGCCTCTCCCCAGAGATGCACTAAAGTGATTTATGGTGTAGGTCACAGCCGCCCCTGTTTGGGCCTGTTACAGTTCGTTAAGCTCCACTAAGCTTAGGTATTATGGGATCCTTCCCTGGAACATTAGTGTTGGAGAGAAAAGGAGGAGGAAGCTGGGTGGGTATTTTTTTTTTTTTTTAATATAGCTATGGAACTGCCTCTGGCCTAGTCTATATCCTGGAACAATTCTGTTTGTCTTTCTTTTTCTATTGAAGCTGCTGGTGTTCCTGGCCCTCTCTGCCCCATTGCTCAGGGTTTGCTTACGGCAGTCGTTTAGAAGATTGTCGTATCTGTAACTGTAGCTGGTTTGCTGATTGTGTGACCACCTGGTTGTCAGGACGGAGGACAAAGACGGTAAATCTCCCTGGGAGGCTGTCACTGTTTTCCATAGGAGGAAGAGGAGAAAGGTAGTCAGCAGGGATGGCTTTTGTTTGTTTGTTGCTGTGCAAAGAATCATGTGAGGCTGAGATGATTTTAATTGGGAGCACAAGTTCACGTTCAAAAATGCCCTGAAACTGAGGAATTTCCCAATAAACAACTTCATACTTGATTTGTGATGTTTGAAGCAGGAGATGTGCTGTTTCCAGATGTTTTCCAAAAGGCCCCAAGCTCCCAGGTCCACACGCTGCCTCAAGACATCCCTCTGGTCTGCAGAGACACACAGCTGTTTTAGCAGAAAATTATTTTCTTCTAATTTCGTTAAGATGCCACACTGGACACGTACCTTTCATCCAGCGAGACCCTATGATGTTCAAAGGATTCAGAATTACCAGCCCCCATCCCCACCTTCTGGGGTCATATGCAGAAAATGTTTAGCATCTGTACTGCACTACCACCCAAATGCTCTAAATTGAAGGAAGATGTATTTCTTACATTAAATTGCTGAGGGGATATTCAGAGGAGAGCTCTGGTTCCTAGGCTGGGCCTGCCATCACTATAGGAAACTCCTTCTGTTATACAAAGCACAAGGGGATATGGCTTCTCCACATAGGCCCTTCTCCTTTTGTCTTGCCTTAGATATCACATGACATTCCACCTTTTTCTAACACTCAACTGCTATGAGATAGGTAGTGATAATAATAATTATTAATAATAATATCTGGCTTTGATAGGTGCTTACTCCATGCCAGACCTTGAGCTCAATAATTGGTATCTATGATTTTCTTTAACGTTCACAGAAACCTTAGGGGAGGAGTATTACTACTGTCTATCCCAATTTTCATTTATTTTTATTAGTTATTATTATTTTTTGTTTTGGTTTTTTTTTGTTTGTTTGTTTTTGTTTTTGAAATAGGGTTTCTCTGTGTAGCCTTGGCTGTCCTGGACTCACTTTGTAAACCAGGCTGGCCTTGAACTCACAGAGATCCACCTGCCTCTGCCTCCCAAGAGCTGAGATTACAAGAGTATGAGCCACCACATTGGGCTCCATTCCCATTTTTAAAAAGGAAATAATAATAATAATTATAATAAAGCAGACCACAGAATATAGGAGCTGAGTCAAAGGTTCATTAGAGTTTGAATCCAGGTTTGTGCATGGGTTTGTCATGTCGCCCCACTTGTCCTGGCACTGAAGAACTTGTAACACAGCTACAGAGTGCCTTACCAGACCTCCCATGGTAGAGCTGTTAGTTTAGAGCTGGAGAAGAGAGGTGAACAGCCCACACCCAAACTTGCATTCAAATGCTTTCTGAACTCACTGACAGGATGATCCGTTTTCCCAATCAGCCTGGGGCTGTCCCAGCCGTCCTGGCTGTCCCACCTTTGAGGGCGAGGGATTTCCTGGGTGAATTCCAAGGTTCCTAGTTACTTCTGTACACACACCTTCAGCTAATTCAACAATCTCAACTCCTGGGGCCACTAGGAAAAGAGGCGAAACTAAAAAGACTAGGAAACTGGCAGAACGGGCCTGACTTTACCAGGGGAGCCCTTTAAATAAATCTCAGCTTGTAGATTATTTGAATCACAGCCTTTGAGGCCCCAAGCAGAGAGGCAGCCACACCGTGGCCATTCACTGTAAGTCTGCACGGAACTTGTTTTAAGCCAACTCTGTGCTGCTCTGTTACACAGTCGTAGAGATGCAGTGCACCAGGAAACAACAGAGGCGGCTGGTCACTCCGGACAGATGGACAGCGCCTGGTGACGGAGACGTTGTTAGGATACCTGGGCACTAGTCCTAGAGGAATTGTTCTGCCCTGTAGGATTTGGGAGGGGTGGGGACGGAGAGAATGACAGCCACTGAGAAGGAAGGCACGGAATACAGTGACAGCCCCAGGCTGATTGGAATATGCAAGCGGTGGCTGGAAGACGCCCCCAGGAGTTAAGTTTTGAACGCTCGGGGTCGGAGACTCTGCAGCTTCGGCATTTGAGAAGGTCCACTGGGAACTGTGAAAATGGCAGTGAGCTGTTGGTTACATTTTCATGTGTCACTGGGAACTGATACTATAGCCCTCTCTATTCTCAGAGGTGAGGAACGTGGTATAGCAACCAGACGGCTACAGAGGCCAGCAGAGTATGGGACAGCAGTGTGAGCCCAGGAAAGATCCGAACAATGGGCTTAGTGGTCCTCACGCTTGCCACTGCGGTCCCTGGAATAAAGCTTGTCTTGGATCTCTAATAGTTTTTTGAAATACTTTTACCTTCCATAGTAGTAGTGACCAAATTCAGATGGAGACCCTTCCTGCACGCTGTCTTTGGCCAAGGGCATTTTCAGTTTAGAACAGTGCTTCTCGACTTATGGGTCAGGACCCATTGGGGGATCGCATCTCAGCTATCTACATTACAATCCCTAGCAGAAACAAATTACAGTTATGATACTGTAACGATAATAATCCTGTGGTTGGGGGTCACCACAACATGAGGAACTGTATTAAAGGGTCACAGCATTAGGAAGGTTGAGATCTACCGGTTTAGAAGATTTTTGATGAGGGGGGGGGAACCATCGTGGAAATCAGTGAAAAGAACGCCCAATATAAGTGGGTCAGCTGGAAGTTGGGTAAACAGACTTCCTCAGGTCAAGTGAGCCAGGCTCACTAGTGTCCATGGGCCAGCATCTACTTAGCTAGGGGTCAGTGAGGCCTGGAGGACTTCAGTTCCTCTTCAGGCCACCTAAGTCAGACTGTGTATATCCCAGTACGCCCCAGGAAACAGTGGCCAACATGAACTCCGTCTGGGCAACACAGAATCCTCCTAGCCTTCCCTTACAATTTGCTTTAAAAGTTCAGCGATCAAGCGCACAGGCGAGCCAGACCACAAAACTCTCACTTGGCAAGAGATAACCCCCTTTCTAAGACAGCTGGCTCTTTACATGTTTGAACAAACTGGCATTATCCACAAGAGCTAATGGTCTGAAGTCAGGCTTAAAACTCAGCAAAAATAAACTTTCCAGGAAAGTTCTGGCACACCCAGCTTCCAAACCTATCACTGCAGGAACGTTATCCAAGGAGTGGACTCTTTTCCTATTTCTAACAAACATAGGAGCATAGGGGCAGAGGACATAGGGGCAGATCCTATTCTGGCCTTGAACTGATCACACACACACACACACACACACCTGAAGAAACAGGGAGGAACTTTCAAGAAATCTTTGGAAAGTCCATGATTTTATTGTAGCACAATGGATACTGAGCTTCTTACTCAAATTGTTATTCTAAAAGAACTTAAGGTGTCTTACCTTGGTCGCTGGGTCAATGAGACAAATTTATGAGTAGAACACGTAGGATCTGGTGTGTCCTTCACATGGTCTGTAACACAGTGTTCTCCCTTTCTCAGGGGATCAGAATGCCCTAACTCAAGTAGCTGCATTTACAAATCCCACGGATGGACTCTTACAACTACTCTGACAAACACAATAGACACAATGGCTTCATCACAGGGAACCCAGCACCCAGAGCTGGCATCCTCTGCTTGCTTTTGAGGATGCCTCATTCCATGGCTTTCCCTACATAGCACATCACCCCAAGTGAACAGGAATGAAATGACAGTCCTTTGAGCATCCATGGGACAGGAGACAGAAGGGCTCAGCTGGGACTTTCTGGCTCCTGTCCATCTTGCAGTTACAGTCACATAGAGCCCTGCTGAAGCATCCCAGGAATCTCTCTCTCTCTCTCTCTCTCTCTCTCTCTCTCTCTCTAGTGTCAAAGCCTCTCCGTGTCATCACTCTTCCAGAGCTGGCTTGCTTTCCTCACAGCCTGGCTGTCTCCAGAAGTCAGACTGTTTACATGACAGCCCAGGGCTCTGAAGGCAAGAAAGTCCCAAGAGAATCAGGCAGACGTGACATCATGTTTTGTCCTGTGTTCAGAAGTCACAGTATCACTTGCCCTTGTTTGAATTCTGTTGGAAGAGGTGCATTGGGATAAGGGACACCATCATAACCATCTCTGGAAAAATATAATCTACAATAGCATTCCCTCAGAAAACTGCTACCACATCCGAACTATGATAATTCAATGGAGACACGCCTTAAGAAGTTGCAGAAGCAGGGAGAACAGAAACAGAAGCTAGGTATGGGAACAGCTATTTGTAACAGAAGAATTGTCAGTGCCCCCATTCGGAAGCAATAAGATAAAGCAGGAAGAGGCATTCATGGAAAATTGGCAAAGGTGAAGCGATTGTCACACTGTCCCCTCCCTTCAGTCTCCTCTGCTCCATAAGGGTTGAGACTGACAAGAAATCCTAAGGCCTGATGCCCAATTGACCAGCTGTTGCAGAAGAGAGCTGGGTGGGAAAAGTGGAGAGGCCGCAGAAGATAAATGTCTAACAGGTATTCATAGTATGAGAGAGAGTAAGAGTTTAAAGCCTCGGACATGTGTAGCGGAAGATACTGCCGCAGGAGGGTGACCCGGATTCTGAGCTCTGCCTATGCCGTGGTATAGCAGTGTAGATACAGCCAGGGAAGGAGCTCATATCACCAATTGTTCACTGGATGCCGGGGTCCCGACCTGTATAGGGGGGATGTGTGGATAGAATCCATACTTGAGTCTCAGGCTGTGGACAAGGTGTTGTCCACCTGATGCAGACAGAGCCACCAGGTGCTAACAGGACTTCCTTACCCATGCTGGACGGTCCATGGTGATGGTCCAAGAGCAGGCAATGCAGCTCTTTGACATAGCAAGATGAAGGTGGCAGGGATACTTGCTGGGGTGGAGACCAGGGGCTCTGTGAGTGCTTCTCTGCTGCCACTGCGTAGTAGAGTCTGCATGATCCTTGGGGCTGATTCTTCTCCATCTGAGTGGCAGCTGCAAGCCTGGCTCTTTCATCCCCTTTCCTTCTCTCTTTATAGCTCCCCCACTCTCATTTTCCTCAGTCTAGAGAACCTTCGTCTAGTTTGTGGGTGAGGAAGTCTGGGTTTTAATTTCTTTTCCTAATGATCTATTATATTCGGCATAAAATATAAACTCAAAAGTCTAGGTGTACAACTCTACATTGTTGACTTCTGAAACTCAAAAGCTAAGATCTAACACAGTTAGTCTCTCTATGTCTGTAGGCAAATGGTATAAAATTTAGCCTTAGTAGTTTTAGGGGCAGGTGTCACAAGACATCTATTGGTGATGGTGTCTAGAAGGGGAAGTCCCAGAGGCAATATGCTAACCAATCACAATTTAAACTGAGAAGTGCAAGAACCTCAAAGATCACTTACAGACGGAACTAAGAACAGGCCCACTTCACTCCTGGAAGAATCGATAATAAACTTTCAACAGGAAGAGATGAAAGAAGCATTTGGGGTAGACAGGAGGGAAAACAACAGACATTAAAGCGTATTCAAGAAAAGAGAGTGTGATTTGGTAGGATGCGGGCATGGCTAAATACACAGGAAACGAATCCTTGAAAGACAAAGTCTGCCGGGTCTTAAAGAACCCTTCAGGGATCATTTCACTGTGCATTGGAAACCCACCGAAGGATGCAGGTCAACAGGGGCCCGAGTCTGTGCTGGGCTTTAGAGCAATCAACGACACTGTCTGGGACACACAGACTATATGGCCCCAGAAGTGGGCACAGCAGAGATCTACCTAAGCTCCCCGTACGGGGCTTTTGTCATCATCTGGTTTGGAGGTCGACTTCAGCCTCTCCCTGAGCCTGGACCCACATTTTAAACTCTACAGAAGCTTGCCCACCTATAGGCACCAAGAGCTTTGACCTCAGTGCAGTGTGCCTGGGGTGGGTTTCAGCATCCCTCCTCCACAATCCCACATCCCGTCATGGCTCTCTGCCCATTTACCTCTCCTAGGTAGGCTCCAGGACAGAAATATCACTGTCCTGATTTCCCCTGGTCTACTTCCTCCTCGCTTCATGGCTCCCTCCACTCTCTCCACACTTAACTACCCTACATTCTCTCTCTCTTTTTTTTTCTTCTCCCTCTTCTAGACGCATCTTTCTTGTTTGTTTGTCTTGAGCTACCGGCCAGCATTCCTTTTTCAGGGACTCCCCTGAAAAACCTGGCTCTTGGTCTTCCTACACTGAACTCTTTTTTGGTGTCCCCACATTCACGGCTCAGCCACCATCTTTCCTAAACACCAAATCTGATTATGACATTCCTTCTTCAGAAGGCCTCTTTGGCCACGCCACAACCCCACAGCCTACAGGACCAAGAGAAAACTCTTTCATTTGGCTTTAAAGTCACCTTAAGCTAACCCTGGTTATATTTACTGTTCTGTCATCAGAACACCCCCCCCCCCCATTTCAAACCCCCACGTGGAGATAATGCAACAGGAATGTATGCTATGGCTCTCTGCATATAGACACAACACCCACCCTTCCTGGAAGCAGCAACTGAAAAGGGTGAGCCCCAGTTGTTTGGACAAGAGAGGAAGCCCTGGGGTGAAAGGAAATCCTGGATGTGCCTGGAGCAGAAGGGTAAAAACGGATCAGTTAACTCTTTAATATATAGGCCACCCAACTGAATAAAAAGATCCATGTTAACAAAGAAATGTTTGAGTTGTTCTATGTTTAAAATCTGGGAGGAGGCACTTCAAAGAAACTGCAGATTTTCAGTTTGTCCAAGCTTAAGGGACAGCTTGGGAGGTCAGTTGAGCTTGAATCTTAATAAATACAGTTGTGGGGAAGAGGAGGAAGAGAAGAAGGAGGAGAAGAAGAGAAAGAATTGAGGTTCCATCCAGCTGGAGATGGCAATTCATTGAATTGCTTTCTTCCCCAACCCTCTGGCTCTGTAAAACACAGATGATTTTTGGGAAACAAGTTTGGACTTATTTTACTCTGCCTGGATAGCCGCACTGGAGCCAGGAGACCCAGGCGGTGACTCCTGGCATGCCTCCAGCTCTCTGAGACTGCAGGAGAGCCAGCTCTTCTCAAAACTTTGCCCTCTTGGTCATCTTGGCAGAGTGCTGCCTACGGCCCTGTAGGTTCAAGTCTATGTGCCACTGACTCAAGGTCCATAAAAATATTATCTAGCTTGCTATTTACCTACTTCAGAAATTTGCTTTTTGCATGTTACCATCATCTTCTCTGCATTATTTAAATTTTCTTCTCATTTTCCTGCCCAGCCAAGCAAGGCAGAGCACCTGCCTGGCCATTTCCCGGACTCTTGACTTGAATTTACAGAGTACGTTCTGCCCACTGAATCCGCTCTGGAGCTGGCATTCTTGGCTGGGACCTTGGCAGTTATCAGACTCTGGAATTTATGCTATCTGGAAAACGAGAAAGCACCCAGACTCTCTTATGTAACAGTATGTTCACTACTACTCAAAAGGTGGCATCCTTTGATAATTGTCCCTATTCCAGTGACCCTAATTATCAGATTCATTTTCCCAACCCAACGATGTGTAAACAAAACAACAAAACAAAACAAAAAGGCAGTGATCAAATAAACACTACGTGACAATTCCTGTAGGAAGGGAATTAGATCATCTCAGTACTCTTGGCACAATCTTTCAATCTTGTGCATCCATGTTCTGGGCCCTTGCAGCAGCAGCCTCCTTAATAAAGACCTTGATGTGTGTTATAGATGAGGGAGTATTCACTCTTCAGTGATGGAGTGTGTAGATGGAGGGCTGAGCTTCCCACTCAGGCATCGTCTTGACATCACAGGGGCTCAGATCAGATGCACCCATCTACAGCATCTGATTAAGGAGGTAGCCACACCAGCTCTCATTGCCTCTTGCCTGCTGGAAAGTTAATACCAACTCAGAGACCTCCAAGCACAGTGGAGACTTGTGATCCTTGTAAACTTACCTTATCCTTGTAAAGCTGAGATGGTATGGGAAAGGATTCCTGAAGAAAGCATTCAGATAGGCTGGTCAGGATCTTCATTTCCTAGCGAAGTCCTCTCTGTGCACAGGAGTGTGTGATTTCACTCCCAATCACCTCATCAGCTGTCATCCACATCTCAATTCTCTGGACAATAGTTGGTGGCATCTTTCATGGGCCAGGCCCTGTGTGAGGATGGCACAGGCTGAATAAGACCCTTTTCTGACCTGGAGGTCTCACGATCAGTCAAGGAAAATGATGCACAAAGAACACCATTGGTGAGATACGTGCCAAGAGAAAACATATGGACAGTGAATTCATCCCTGTGAGAAAGCAGGAAAATGGTTTGGCTTCCTCCATAAACCACAGACAATAAGCACTGAGAAGCACTTCATAGATTATCCTCTCTGACCCCTTCATCTGACATGTGGGAGACAGAGAGGGGGAAGAGGGCACATAGTTTTAAGGCCTTGATCAATATATAATGAATTCTTTCTCCTTTCCTGTTTGGCGGCATGTCTATGTCCCTCCAATTATTTTGGGAAGGAGACAAAATGATAACAATATACATATAAGAAATCCACTTGCTTTCCAACTGAAAACCTACAAGACAAACCTAGCCAGAGTCTGTTAAGAATGATGATTATTCTCCGGAGGCTGCTATAATCAACCCATTTCCATTTGCCTCGTCTATTTCAAAGTTACATTTATTTATTTGCATGTGTTTGTGGGGTGGGGCACACATGTGAATCTGAGTCTACTCGGGGGTCAGAGGGTAACTTGTGGGAATCAGTTTTTTCCTTCTGCCATGTGGGTGCCAAAGAAAGAGCAAGCCCAGGCAGTTAAGCTTGTTGGTGAGTGCCCTCACCCACGGCACAATCGAACCATCTCTCCCACTGCCTTTATAATCACTGTTCCTCTCTATGATGGTCCATTATATTAAATCTGTCACCATTCTTGACTTTTTTTTTTTCTTCTATACTTGCGCATCATTTGGAATTTGGAAGATTATTTTGCCACCTGGTGTCACCATTTTGAGAGTCGAGTCATCGGGCTCACAGCATCAGCCTAGGATATGGTAGGTAGGATGGCGTTCCAAAGGGAGCTGAACACCGAAGCTCAGGGAACATCAGGGAACTCACAAAGCCCAGAGAAAGGAGCTGGTATGCCTGGGACTGTGCAGAGAAACAACAGAGGAGGGCTGGGACTTGATGGTAAATGCATGATGCCTAGCAGTTCGAAAAGAAGCCCCCATCCCCCGCCCCAGTCAACCTGTGTGTGCAGGGCTCCACCCTCAGTGGATCCAAACGTGATTTCCCTGGCACCTCCTCAGAGCGTGTGTGGCTGCTGTGTGGCCTATTCCAGCCACAGGGGCTGGAAGACACACGCCACAGGCAACAGGAGTGGTGAAACTGACTCCTGGTAGGCAGCCTCAGCTACTACTCCAGCCGGTTTGGACTCACCCAGCCAGCAACCCAGGGGAGGGGAAACGCGGCAGGAATGGACTCCCCTCGGGTCTGGCCAGAAGGTAAACTGGACTCACTCAGGCAGAGGGTCATCTGGGCAGGGGCAGTAGACTTGATCCTCTTCCCCTCCAGCACAGGTGGAACTATCGGGTGGTGTTTCATTTCAAAGCCATTTAAGCGGAATCTCACGAGTCAGTTTCTGTTGACTTTATACACAATGAGACTTGAATGTTTACCTAGGCCAAAAGACAGGCAGGAAGAGGGCCATAGAGGAAGTCCAGAGGATCGGGGAGGGGGGACGTGACCGTCACAGCACTGGAGAAGGGAAACAGGTGGCGGAGAGACGAGCAACTGGTTCCCTCGGAACAGTAATGGTTAAGCAAAAATTCCCACAGAAGTTTCCAGTCACAATTAAACGGCAGTGGGAGAGAGCTGGGGGGAGGGGAGGGCAGCTGAGGGTGAAGGGGGGTCAAGCAGAGAATGTTTCAAAGCAACAGGGAGGGTAGCCCTCTGGAAAGGAGGGCTGCAGTAGGGAATATTCGTTCAACAGGAGCTTTAGCACCACGTCATGCGTCTGGATGGACAGCAGCCACTCCCTGATCCCATTGGCCACAAACTTCTGACAGACTTCAGCCTCCTTCCCTCTGTGCTTCACCTGGCCCCACAGGTTCCCCACTTCACAGCCTGTGGAGAGGCCCTCCACAGATTGGTTACATGCTCCCATTTTTCAAGCGTCTCCTCACACGCTACCTCCCCCAGCAAGCCTTGCCTCTGCCCCACCAGGCGGTGCTGGCTTTCTCATCGGGTTTTCCTTTATGACCCTTCCATTTCCGCCTGAGCTCCAGAGTGTGTGGGCTTGTCTGAGTTCCGGCTCCTAGCCCACATTCAAAAACCTCTTTGACCTGTGTGTTTCCAGAGTCAACAAATGTTGAAATGCATTACATCCAATGCAAACTTGAGACACCACTCCCCCAACACACACACACACACACACACACACACACACACACACACGCACACACGCACACACACACACACATGCACACACGCACACGCACACACACACTGGCATGCCTTTAGAGCAGTGGTTCTCAGCCTGTGACCACGTTGGGATCAGGTGACCCTTTCACAAGGATAGCATATCAGACATCCTTCATATCAGATATTTTACATTACGATTCGTATCAGTAGCGACATTACAGTGGTCGTAGCAATGAAACAATTGTATGGTTTCAGGTCACCACGTGTATTAAAGGGTGGCAGCATTAGGAAGGCTAGGAGCCACCGCTTTAGCAAGCATGAGCTGGGGTCTGGAGCCAGGCGGATCTAGACCTACTACTAGCCTCCAACACTAGTAAAGCGACTTTCAGCAACCTGATTCATCTCTGCTCCTCGCCTTCTTCATTTGTAAAATAAGCAAAAAAAACAAAAAAACTTTCTCAGAGCAACTCATTGACAAAAAGTACATCACATGCTATTGCATGCTTTGTGCCTGTTCCAAAAAAAAAAAAAAAAAAAAAAAAAAAAAAAAACACTGCTATAACTGGGGATATGGGTTAGCAGCAGCACAAGCTCCTTTGGATTTCCAGAAGTCACTCATCCCAGTGAGCCCTGTATCTTCCTGGAAGCTAAAGCCGACTGACCCCCGTGCCAATTTGATCTCAGAGCTGAGCTCTGTCTGGCCACAGGATGCTAGGAGGCTGGCCTGGAAGTTATGGTCCTCCTGCCTCAGCCTCCTAGGTGTACCTAGGGTGACAAGGAGGGTCTGGGGAGTCTAGAGAGGAAAACTCCTGCCTCTGTGGATGGTAGATAAAAGGGCAAGGAAGTGAGAACTGTCTGGAGCCTCACAGGGGGGACTGCCCCTACCAGGCAATGAGGAAAAAGTCTTCTGAAAGTAGGGACAGAAGCTGCTCTGAGTTCAGGAAGCAGCAGTCATCAAGGGAGGTGCCGAGTTAGCTAGCCCGGAAGGCCAGAAGTCCAATCTATACTCTCCCAGCGCTGGTCTCCACAAAGTGGATCACTCTTATTCTCCAAATAAATGCTTTCTTTTGTTTTGGTTTGGTTTTTCAAGACAGGGTTTCTCTGTATAGCCTTGGTTTTCCTGGACTTACTCTGTAGACCAGGCTGGCCTCGAACTCACAGAGATGTGCCTGCCTCTGCCTCCCCAAATGCTGGGATTACAGGCCTGCGCCACCATGCTGGGCAATAAATGATTGCTTCCTCAGTGATCTTGTTGGCTGTTTTTCTGAAACATGTACAGCGATTTCTGTTGGAAAGCAAGTTATCTTTAGAAAGGCCACATGGACCCAGGGGACAAAACTCAAACCAGCCCAGAAATAGAGGCCCCCAGGGAGTGTGCGGGTCCCCGGAGCAGCCTCCTGCTGTTCTCCAAACCCCCTAACAGATGGGACGATTTCAGCACCTCGGAGCCACACAGAGAGCACCAAGGCAAACGGGAACAAACTCACCACTTCCTGCTTCATTGTTCCATTCATTACTCTCTGAGGACAATAGAAGGTAAGAAGAACCAGAAACCTCTTTCATAAGAGTCTAAGGGTGGTCAGAACTTTGCTTGGAAGACTATTGGCCAAGTGTAGCCACTTGAGACCGAAAATTGGCATGTTTTATAAACTCCAGTACAGATAGAGAGGAATGAATTGAAAACATGGACTCAGAAACACACACACACACACACACACACACACACACACTATGCATCTCATATTAAATCAGGCTTTGCTTCCACCTCTCGAGGTAGGAGCTGAAATCTCTTTGACATCACAGAAAGGAAACTCAGCTCCTACTATGAATGCTGTATTTGTCAGTGATGTCCCATTCTTGCATGGGAATTGACAGTTGAAGTGGCTGAGCCACACGCCAGGGGCCACGTGACCAGCTGCAATTAGGAGCGCTGGTTGATTGGTTCTGTTTTGTTCTGTTTTAGTTTTTTTGTTTGTTTGTTTGTTCATTTTTTGAGACAGGGTTTCTCTGTATAACTTCCCTGGCTTTCCTAGAACTTGCTTTGTAGACCTGGCTGGCTTCTAACACACAGAACTCTGCCTCCTGAGTTCTAGGATCAAAGGCATACACTGTCATGACCAGCTGATTGGCTGTTTTTGTTTTTGTTTTACTTTCCCTTTTGCAACCACATTCTGAGTGTGCCTTGGGTCCCAGAGGGACAGGCTGTTATAGGAGTTGGGCCAGGACAGAGTCTTGGCTCTGTTTGTCTCTCTGGCTAGCAGGTCATTCTACTCAAGCCAATATATTCTGTGCAACTCCTCTAAGTTTGGAAATAAAGAGAACCAGCTAGTGTCACTATGAGTGTGAATGACTCGTTTCTCTTTTCTAGAGGACTGGGGATAGTTGGGAGGAAGAAACTGAGCTAAGCCTGAAATCCTTAAGTGTTTCTGATTCCTCCTCAGGTAGGCAGCTATGCTTTCCCACGCTGCTGTTTTAGTTTGGGACATTTGTTAGGTCAGGGAAGGAGTGGCCCTTGGCCTTCTTCCTTCAGTGCAGTTGAGTCTGACTCCAGCAGCGACTGATGGCTGCTGTGTAAAGCTACCCGCCTCCTATGCCAGAGATTTTATTAGCTTTAACTTGTGCTGTGGGTATCTGTGCTATTTAGCTATTAAGTGTCCCCCAAAGGTCCATGAGGTAAAGGCTGATGCCAGCACTGAGCTGTTTGTAGTTGTGGAACATTTAAGAAGTAGAGTCTGGGGACTAGAAAGATGGCTCAGTGGTTAAGAGCACTGGCTGCTCTTCCAAAGGATCTGGGTTCAATTCCCAGCACCCGCATGAAAGCTCACAGCTGCCTATAACTCCAGTTCCAGGGAATCCAACACCATTACACCAATGCAAAATACCAATGCACATAAAATAAATAAATCATTTTAAAAAAAATGAAGTGTAGTCTGCTGGAAGGCCCCTGCGACATTGAAGCTGTGCTCTGGAGGAGGACTGTGGGACTCTGGTTTCTTCCTCCTCCTCTCTTTCACTTCTCAGGCATGAAATGAGCAGCCTTCCTCTACCATGGTCTCCACAGTGAAGCACTTTATCATAGATCTAAAAGCACCACAACCAAGTAACCATGAATTACCCCCCCCCCCCCCGAAAGCCATGGGGGCAAACTTTTCTCTTTGGAAGTTAGCTATCTCACGGCTTTTGC